CCAAGTTTAAGACATCTACACATCTGGGGTTGTCAAGCTGAGGCTCGGGTGTATAACCCTCAAGAAAAAAAGTTGGACCCTAGAACCATAAGTGGCTACTTTATTGGTTATCTAGAGAAGTCCAAGGGATACAGACTTTTGTCCTGGTCATTCTCTATGAATTGTAGAGACACGAAAATGCAAAATTTCTTGAAAATGACCAAATCAGTGGGAGTATACAACCTCAAAATATTATTTTTGAGGAACATCCAATTTCTATGCAAAGTTCAGATGAGTTGGTAATGATTCCTCATCCTATTATTTATAATAATTTGATGGAGGATGAGTCAACTATTACTGTACCATCTGTAACTGAACCCACTATTATTGAGAATCTTGCTTCACCTTCACGCGTAGCGGGGCAAGAAGAAACTTTAAGGAGGTCATCAAAGGTAAAGAAATCTGCAATTCCATCAGATTATATTGTGTACCTTCAAGAGTCCGATTTTTATATTGGAAAGTGTGATGATCCAACTACTTTCTCACAAGTCATGAATATTTTGAATTCCTCCAACTGGTATGATGCCATGAAAGAAGAGTTGAACTCAATGGATAAAAATAATGTTTGGAATTTAGTTGAACTACCTCCTGGTGCCACTGTAGTCAGCTGTAAATGGGTCTATAAGACCAAAAGAGACTGTAAAGGAAAGGTAGAACGACACAAGGCTAGACTTGTTGACAAGGGGTTCACTAAAAAAAAAGGTATTGATTACAATGAGACTTTCTCACCTGTTTCAAAGAAAGACTATTTGAGAATAATTATGGCAATGGTGGCTCATTTTGATTTGGAGCTTCACTAGATGGATGTGAGAACAACTTTTCTCAATGGAGATCTGGAAGAAGAGGTGTACATGAAACAGCCTGAGAGTTTTGTTTCAGAGGGACAAAGTAATATGGTTTGCAAGCTAAATAAGTCTATATATGGACTTAAGCAGTCTTCCTGTCAATGATATCTTAAGTTCAACGATGTGATTTCTTCATTTGGTTTCGTAGAAAATGTCGTTGATCGTTGTATATACCTTAAGATCAGTGAGAGTCGATTCATTTTTCTAGTCCTATATGTAGACGATATTTTGCTCGCTAGTAGTGATTTGACATTGCTTATTGAGACTAAGTATTTTCTCTCCAGTCATTTTGAAATGAAGGATATGGGTGACGCCTCATATGTCATAGGCATAGAGGTTCACAGGAATAGATCTAGAAGAAAACTTTATCTATCTCAAAGGACCTACATTAAGAAAATGTTGGAGAGGTATGGTATGGAAAACTCCAAACCAAGCCCTGCACCTATGTCTAAAGGTGACAGGATTAAGTAAGTCTCAATCTCCGAGAAATAAGCTTGAAAGGGAGCAAATGAGAGCATATCCTTACGCATCATTGGTTGGGACTTTAAAGTATGCCCAAATTTGCACCAGACCCGACATTGCATTTGTAGTTGGTGTATTGGGCAGATTTCAGAGTGACCCAGGTTTGGATCACTGGAGAGCTGCAAAGAAGGTGCTTATATATCTGCAAGGAACACAAGATTATATGCTTACATATAGCAGATCTGATTCTCTAGAGGTTGTCGGATATACTGATTTCGATTTTGTAGGATGCCCAGATAGCAAGCGATCAACATCAGGATATATATTTTTGCTTGCTAATGGTGTTGTCTCTTGGAGAAGTACTAAATAGAAATTGACTGCAGCTTCTACTATGGAGGCTGAGTTAGTTGTATGCTATGAGGCAATTACACAGGCAAATTAGTTGAGGAATTTTATCATTGGGCTTAAGGTTGTTGATTCTATTTCGAGGCCTATAAGGATGTTTTGTGATAATGCGGGGGCAGTTTCCTCAATAAACAATGGCAAGGTATCTAATGGTAACAAGCACATGGATATTAAATACCTTGTCGTAAAGGAGAAGTGTGATGAAAATAAGAGGTCCGTTAAGTACATTAGCACTATGCTTATGGCGGCATACCCTATGGCCAAAGCTATAGCTCTAGGATTGTAAAAAGATCATGCGGATCATATGGGTCTAGTAAACAATTTTATTGCTTGATGTACTATATGTGCACATTTGGAGACACTATCAGTTTATTGTATCACATTATTATGTTATTCTGCTTATTATATTTTTGTGGTATGAATATGTTCTTAGCAGAAAATTTTGACCAACAAATGAATTTTATGGGAAATCCATTCCTAAAGAAAATTAGCCTAAAGTCTTGTTTATGAGGGTTTAGTGATATTGTGATCATGGAAGGATGTATGCTATTTACTGGTGTATATTCGCCATAATTCATATTACTAGGCTCAAGTAATCAAGAATAAAGTTAAACTCACTTATGTTGGGATAATTTGATAAAGAGCGCGTATAATTTTACCGAACCCAAGTATTTGTTTATTTTCAAAATATAAGTATTACTATTATTATTATTTTCTTTCAATTTCCTTGTCAATTTGGTCCAAGTGGGAGAATGTTGGAACCTATTTAATGGGACCCACATGTGGACCTTAATTAACAAGGTACAGAATTGGATTTTGGAATAAGGATATCCTAATTAAATTACCTAACACATTTTGGTTAGGTTAGTGGGTAGTTTCCTTGTAAAAGTGGAGTTCTAGGTACAAGGAAACATGTTTTTAAAAAATAGTCAATTTCCTAGAAGTTACCTTGATGGGAGAGAACAATTACTGATTATTTTAACGTGAGACAATTAGTTACTAGTGAGGGGGATATAATTTACTTGAGAGACCCTATCTCTTATTCACGCTTATAGTATCTCTCACTCTCTGAAAAAATCTATTTGCAATCTACTTGGGAATCAAGTTCATGATTATATTCGGTATTCTTGGTATTCTTCTCATGGAGATTTCTGCATCAAGAATCATTGTTATGGATCCCGTGAGTCAATGTTAATTTTCTATTCGATCTGTTTAAGACCATTAGGTCTAACAATGTCACCATCTAATAATAAACCTACAAATGAATATGTAAGTTCAAAACCTAATCAAAGTTATCCAGGACCACCCATGACCCAACTCATAACATTGTTCAGGTAAAATCCTATAAACATAAAATTAGATTCATACTAATAGGACCTGTGCAATGCACGGCCAAATTATTAAAAATATTATATAGAATGAATATAACTTTTATAAACTCAAGTTCTTACCTTATGAATCTTGAAGTTTGAGACTTGAAGGACAAACATAAAATTTTACATTTGCAATATCTTGTTCCGATTTGTACAACAACCACAACTACAACCAAAAATAGTTCGCTGATTGCAGTAACTATAATACACGATCTTTTTAGCTTGTGATGGTTAGTTGCATACAAACAAACCAAATCAGCGATTAATATAACTTAAATCAACAATATATTTTGGAAAGTCATTTGCAAATAGGTTATCTTACTATTGTGTCAATGAGAAAAAAATCAACGTGGAATCCTCCATTGTCGTTTCCACTACTATGAATTTTAGTTTATTTGGTTCTTGCTAGAACAATCGCAATTGCAAGTCTAGCATATACCAAAATTTTGGTTCGTCTGTGCAGATCATCTGAATAAATTTCAAGATGTAGTACATTGTCACTATTAGAAATAGAAACATATTACATCATACAAACCTAGTTAGATAAATTGTCTCCATGGCACAAAACAATTTTTATTGTGAACTTAACAAAGACATCAACCAGTTAGCTAAATTTTATAGGAAAGATATAATAAATTGTGAGCTTACAGCAGATTGAGGTCAAAGAAAGAGTTGGAAGTTTCAAAGTTTCGATCCTTAAGATTTTGTAGCATCCTTACAAAAATGGGTGCCTTCAATATTTTAGCATAAACATAATGGTCTCGAATAAATCATACCATATCCCATATTCTTTTAGACGCCATAATCAAGTGCACGAATAATAGAGCATTGAGTCATCTAATAATAAAGGGAATTGTCCAACATATTTGATATTTTTTGACACCTGCAATTTGATTGTTGATCGCTAAAATTGAACCTATCTAGTATAGACAATAAGTTAGAAAGTAGAGCTACCATTTTGTTAAAGATGCTTCTTGATGATGCACAAAACGAGTTTATGCAAAATCAACAGTCAAGTATGTAAAATAGAATAATTAATGAGGTAATCAATAAGTAGTAAATAATAAAAGGCAAATACTAGGTCAACACATAAATATATAGTGACTCGATCAGGGGGACCTATTCCACTCCGAAAGTGGCAACGGTGGCTAGAGAACCTTTATTAATAAAATAAAGTAAGAGAGAGAGCTTCGGGAGAGGTATGATAGTTAGGAGAGAGAAATAGCTATGTGAGAGGTGTGTAGAAAGATACAAAGAGATGTCCTTTTATGTAGAGAGAACTTATAATTTATAAGCATAGAGCCTTAGTTGAGGCAGTGACGTGATGGTAAAGACACTAGTTCTTGGGGAGGATAGTCACAAAAGTAAGTACAATTAAAGATATCCTAAATTTTCGAGAGTGACTATTCCGATGATTATTCTCCACGTGCTCTAATCTTTTTGGATTTCTTAGACCTTGGACTGGATCAAATTCATGAACTAGGCTTGACCTACTATGTGGTTGATATGGGCTCAATTAATTGGTTAAGCCCAACCCATTAGGAATTGGGTTCGTCATTTGCCCCATGCCCAAGCCCTTGCCATGGTAAGAGATTGTGGGCATGAGTAAGCTTTCCCATTCAGGCAAATTAGGTTTCTTCTTCCCCACGACTTATTTCCCTTATCCCTCTACACTTTTGAAATTCCTTCTGTTCCTCGATGATATCATGGTTGGAAAGCTATTGCTCTAATCATCATCCCTTCGTCGAGTTTCCTATAGAATTTGATAGCAAAAAACCCCTGTTCATTGTTGTAAGGCTTTAACAGAGCTCCCACCATATCTCTGGGTTAACAGATACCCCTCCTTATTCCATAATCCATTAGGTGAAATACAGATTCAATCGATGAAAAGAGTCTCAAAATCAAAGGAACTCAGGGAGACTCCTACTAAATCTGTCATGGGCTCCCCCAATATCCCAAGGAGTAGTGGAACAACCACCGGAGGCTCAGGAGGGACCGACGTCGAAGCCAACAATGGAGGAGACAAAGACGACAAGGGGGTCAAGTGCACATGTGGCATCGGAGGCGTCGTGGGCGACACTAAAGGCTTAGAAGGCTCCATCCTCGCAAAGGGTGAGATTTGGGCAATGTGGGCGACGCCTTGGGCAATGTGGGCGACGCCTTGAACTGAGCAAGCAACGTCCTGGGTCTCACTCCTAGTAGCAATAGATCTCATGGAGTCCTAGGCAGGGCCGATGGAAGAGGCGCAATGACGCTTAGAAAGGGCAAATCCAGGTCAGCGACGCCAGGCTCAGGCGATGCTTGCAACACTAGGGACCTCCTCCGTTGTGGTGATGGCACCTCGGTTGGCGTGGAAGGGGTGCAATGATGGAGAAAAGGGTCTCCTAAGCAAAGGTCAAAGAGAGGGAAGGAAAGAGGGCGACGCTGGGCAAAGCGATGCCAGCTAGGCGCTAGGCGGTGAGCGTGAGCTAGATTAGGCAGGGCCGGTGTGCTGGACAACGTCTGTGGAGGCTCAGGCACGTCGGGAAACATCGGAAAGCATGCAAGTAAGTTTAGTGGCGTCTTTAAATGCTTGGATAACGGAGGGAAGCGGCCAGACAGTGACTCTAAAAGCATGGGTGACAGAGCCTAATTAGGTGAGGTGATTCTGCCTTTGCTTTTTGACGCTTCAGTGGCTCTTATGTTCACCCATATTTAAAATCTCCTTGTTATTGGATCTATTTTTTGGGTAGGCGCCCATTCAAAAAAAGGTGTGACAAAGCATGGATCACAGAATCCCAAGCGAGACAGGGGAGCCACTAAGGGAGATGGTTCGAAGGTAACTTCTATTTTTAGCTCCATTGACTGTGACGATGATGTCACCAGCATTGTGTCTTCCTACCATATTCCTCCTATTGTCTTATGTCGTTAAGCCGAAAGGGATGAGCCGGTGTGTCATGACTCATTGCGGAGAGATCGTCCTTTACGAGGACGTCCTAGAAGCGGGGTTGAGGTTTTTGATACCCAGAACCAACGGTCGAATTCTGGGACACTTATCACTAGCTCTATGGAGGTTGACTCCCAACGGCTGGAGGGTGATCCTTGCATTCTTCTCACTATAGTGATTAGTTCATAGTGATGAGGTTCCACCCCTTTTCGAGGAGTTTTTGGCTACGTACGTGCTTCTAGATAGCCTTTCTCCTCATCAAGGGTGGTATCGTTTTGCCCCGAGATCGAGCAAATCATAGGACTTCCTTCGAATTGTCATATCTGGAAGTCTAAGTTCTTCTTTGTTGGCGGTGAGTGGGCTACCGAGGGAGATCGTGGCCTAGTGCCTTCGAGGTGGGACACTACTTCGAGGACTAAGCTGGGTAAGAACTTTACCTTTTGCCTTTACGTTTTATTGTCATGTATTCGCTCTTACTGTGTGATTGGCTCTTTTGCAGCTCTATCTAGGTTATTTGTGGAGCAAGAGAGTAGACTCCAGGTTGTGCAGGAACATCCTTTCCTGGAGTTTTTAGAGATTATATCTGCATTGGATCGCTCCAAAGTCCCCTCTAGGCAAAAAAGGAAAGGTTTCTGATCCTCCCAATAGTCTCTTAACAGTTATAACTTTGTAATCTTTCTGTCTCACACCAACTTCGTAGGTATCTCCATTGATAGAGTGCTGGTGAAGACTCTTTATGCTTTTAGGATAACGTCTTCCCCTTCTCCCAAGAGGACAAGGTTTGATGCCCTTAGTGCTTTTTAGCCGACGCCTGATGGTCAGGTTGCTAAGTGAGATCCAATGGTGCCCCCATTCCTTCCCAGATTGTAATTCCAGTGTGTACCAGAACTAGCCGTTGTACCGTTATAGGAGTTGAGACTCTAATACGGTTTTCTACAGGGACTGTAGCTCCACATAGTTGTCCTACTTGTAGTAGTGGCTCGGTGTCCATACTTCAACGTGACTTTGGTCAAGGAGTGGCTTTGGAAGTCTATGACTCCCGGGGATATCAAAGAGGTTGGATCTCAAGATCCAAAGGGCATTATCAATGCCGCAATGGAGTGGTCTTCCATGGTATACCTTTCTTCTTAACTTTGATTTTGTACTCGCTTCCTTTCCTTCATGTTCTGCTTTTTTCCCTACCTTTCTTCAAGGATGAGCACACTTGGTAAGACATCTAGGGATCTGGCAAAGGAGAGGCAGGCTTCGAGAGATTGCTAAGGAGCAATTGAGGCTGGCTCATGAGAGAGTAACACGTCTTGAGGCTGAGTTTTTGATAACTTGTGAGAGAGCGCAAAGCTGGAAACATAGACTGTTTGGGGGCAGAGGTAAGATTAAGCCGAGCTTTTTGGCGACTCGTGAGAGAGTGCGAAGCTGGAGACATTGACTGCTTGGGAGTAGAAGTAGGAATAGGCTGAGCTTTTTTGGTGACTCGCGAGAGAGCGTGAAACTTGATACATAGACTACTTTGGAGCAAAGGTAAGATTAGGTCGAGCTTTTTTGGCGACTCACGAGAGATAGCGAAGCTAAATACATAGAATGCTTGGGAACAGAGGTAGGAATAGGGCCGAGCTTTTTTAGCGATTCATGAGAGAGCACGAAGCTGGATACATAGACTGTTTAGGAACAGAGATAGGATTAGGCTGTGTTTTTTTGGCAACTCGCGAGAGGGCGTGAAGGTGGATACATAGATTGCTTGAGAGCAGAGGTAGAATTAGCCCGAGTTTTTTGGCAACTCGTGAGAGAGTGCGAAGATGGATACATAGACTGTTTGGGAGCAGATGTAGGATTAGGTTGAGTTTTTTGGCGACTCGCGAGAGAGCGCGAAGCTAAAGATTGATAAGATGACTATTTGCACGAGAGCAGAGTTAAAGCTGAGAATGTCACACGAGAGAGCCACCGGAGCAGAGGCCGAGCTACATATAGCTCGGAAGAGGGTTATCGTGGTAGTGGCTCATTCCATTGAGATGGAGATAAGGAGGGAGACCGGTGAGAGGGCCATTGCTGGTGCCTTTATTGATGGTTATGAAGAGTTTGACAGCTTTCCCTGCTATTGATTTCTTGGCTTCGTCCCATTTAAGGCACCAGAGGTAAATAGTGAAGGGGAGAGCCTTGATGATAGTGGCTCGAGGAACAGTGACTGATTGTCGGGAATATGACGATTTTTGTCTTTTTGTCTACCTTCTTGTTATTAGGTCAAGTTCTGACTTTTGTAAGTTGTTTACAAACTTTATAAATGAAAGTATGACAGTTCTAGACATAATAATCTTCATAGAGTTTTATTTCATAAAATAATAAATAATAAAATAAATCTACCAGCTATTAATAATAGCTCTTCAGTTGTTCGAACATAGGTGGACCAAAGCTTTCCTGTTTTTAGTGTGCTTTCATACAAAGCACTTTCACTTAGAGGCCCTCTTGGAATTTCTTGATCCTCATAAAGGCCACATAGTATTCTCTGACACAGACTTGATCTCCTCTAACTGCTCTGATTCCACTGAGGGTTGCACGTAGCATGCAAAAGTCATCCAAGGAAAAAAGGATCATGCACACAAATCTTTCAAAACCAGAAACAGAGTTTTTGGATACACAACCTTGATATAAAGAACAAAATACAGTTCACCACAATGTCTAACAATTCAAAGACAGAAATTATGCAGCAGGTTTCTCAACCTCTTTAGTATGCTTAGCAGTAGCTTCACCGACAGCTTGCTTGGGCTTCAACGCTTCAATCTCCAGCACGAAAGAGTCCAAGTCAAGGTCGGGATATGTCATCTCAACCTTATCCTGAAAATTCATGAACCTTTGCACAAAGCAGAAGCATTCGCCTTGAGGAGCTCAGTGATCTTCTCATCTTGGGACTTCAGCTCTACCACTTTCACCTTCAGCTCCTCATCCTTCGCCCTCAACTCGGTGTCTTTTCCCTTGACAAAATCCTGAAAACAGGTGTCCAGATCTGCATAAGCTCTTTTCATCTCTACCAACTCGGTAGTTAGAACAGTATTCTTCCCCTCGGCTAGGGCACTCCTCTCCTTGGCTGCATCAACAGTGTCTAGTGCACCACACAGCTCGCACTCCTTTGCAGCCAGGTCATCTCTTAGCTGTCGTTCAATGAGTTTGATATTCTCAAGTTCAAAACATAGGGGAGCCTGCTCGAAAGACTGGCCAGCTAATTTACTCGAAACATGCACATGGTGAAACCCCATCATCTTGATACATGCCAAACCCTAACAACAAGGGCACATACTGTAAAAGAGAAATGGGGATAATCTAGAGACAATATTTTAAAGGGGGTGTTAGAAGAGTACAATACCTCAACCGGGCCTTGGATGACATGCTTGGTCTTTCTTTCGAAGCTGACCTTCATAGCTTTCTCGAGATCTGAGGTGGGGACCAACTCGTCCAATACATCCACAATTGCAGTAGGATCACGTAGGAACCCACTACCTTGCGCACCCACTTTGGGTTGATCCTACTTGACCTCTCCTCCCCTAGTGAAGGTCGGCGGCTGAGGACTTGGAGCCTTCTCGATGAGCTTGGCCCCTTTAGCCTAGGGCTCACTCTTGGATGGCGGCTCAATGAGCTCACTTCCTTCCTTGAATGTGATATGTTGCTCTTTATTTCAATGACACATGGGTAGGAATCCCGGTGATATGTGTTCTTGGGCATGAGGGTTTTGTAGTTACCCTGAATCTGGAAGATAATCTAATTAAAACTTCACTGAAACACATGAACCATACAATTGATTTTGTTTGAACTTTCTGAGAAAATGACGTCTAACACTGCTATTACTGCTAGATCTCATTCAAAAGCTTAATTTTAAAGTGTTCTGACCTTTTTTATTTTGACTCACTTATTTTATACAGTTTGGATTGTTCTGTTATGTGTTGTCTCTTTTCTTAGTTCCACCTTGCAATTCTGTGTTTAGAAAGTTACTATGTAAGTTGGTGAAGTAGGATTATGGCAGCTCACATTCTTACAAATTCTTGTTCATGTCTGTCCATCTGAACGATCAATATGATTAAGATTTGGTAAATGTAAATTATGTTGCAGGGGTGCATGTCTCTATGCTTAGCTTAATTTTTATTTAAATTAACTTACTTTTCTTTTCTGGATAAGTTCATATAACTTACAATATTTTGCTATTTGGTTGTCTACCCGTGGAATTTTGATTGGTTAGTTGTTTGTGATTGAAATCACACTAATTGATATTAATCAGCAATCATTCTTGTATTTTGTTTAATTCTAGT